TACTACCATACGGTTTTCACCTCTGAGGAGCGCACCTATATCAGGGTGATATCCTGCCGGGCAGCAGGTGACAGGGGGTATGTACACGTTAAATATTTCGAGCTCAACATCGCCTGACCGGATAGAAATACCCTGACATTCTAGGGTGGTATACCTGCGGTCGATGTCGGCTTCGATAAGACGATACTGCACGGTGTGGTGCGTGATGAACGCTAAGCCACCACCATTATCTCGCTCGCGATCTCGACGGTGCACGTTGTGCCCGGCACAACTCAACAATGTTGAATTGCTGTGCAACTTCGTCTCTTGGACCGCAGCTATCAGTATACCATGCCTCCCCATAAAGACGGTTATCTCCTCGATCTTGCTCTGACACCCGTTGCAGTTAAATTGAAGGAGCTTCATGTGTGTTTGAGCAGCAGGGGGCCACAAACGACGTGGTCCACTGCCGATGTGTCCGTAATCCTGAGCAGACTCTGAGGTGACTCCACCCCTCGCAAGCCTTGCACCTGACTGAGGTGGAGTTGTGGTGTAGTCGTCTCTGGCATACACAGCAGGTGTAGGTTTCTGGCCCTGGGTTTGACTCGATGCCAGCCCTAAGCAGAAGAAGCGAATGCAGTCCTATGGACGAACAACTTCTGAGATACTTCGCCGACCTAAACGGGGTTAGATCGCTGGGTGGTGTTTAGCTGGTTCATGGCATTATTTCTAAAAGCGCCATTTTTTATTTTAAGGCCCAATTTCAGATAGCCTACTTAAGTAGAGATTGCTGATTAACTTCCACTATTCATTTTCAAATCATACATTTAATCTGCACTTAAATGGCCAATATTAGGTTCTTTCCCGTACGCAATGCGGAATCCCGCGGTTGCTCAAAATAGGCCAGAAATCATTCCCGTACTCAACAAAATGGGTAATAGAGGGCGAAAATTAGAACGTATTGGATCGTAAGTGTCTTCTTCTTCCTGTCCGAAACAGCACGGACTTTGGGTTGACTTCGCAAGAGTACACCACGCTTAGAACAAAATAATTTTATAGGGGGCGTAGAGGGGGTCGTACACATCACAAAACTGAAAACCGGACGACGAGGAAACTCACAGTTTACGAATAATTTGTTGTTAAAGTTGAAAATGTCAGCTAACAAAATATACGAGAACAAACTATTTCCAACAAATACATTATTATTTTATATTTATATACATTACATTTATATACAATATTATTTTATATTTTATTAATTTCATGGTTTAACGATGAGGAACACGTTTATAAATACTTTGTTTATTTCCATTAGACAACCGAAATAGTATGTATGAATGAATGTGTGGGAAAATAACTTCGAGCATTTAAAGTGGTTTATTCTAAAGTACCTAATAATGCAACGATGTGCCTTCCTTATTTCATTATTTCTTTTGTCCCTTCGTTCTTTGTA